ATTCGCTCCTGAGACAGGGTGGTTCGTACCATTCTGCGCCACCAACATGTCACCCTTCAACTGAGGCTTTTTCAACAGTCCGATTGCCCCGCCCTTGACATCCTAGGTTATTTGCTTGCTTGCGGGTTGCAGTGAACACTCAGCACGGGTGCCATTGGCGGGATGTTCCACCAGGGATAATAGATGTCCCGCATTATCGACGGGTCGAAGTTGAACCGCTCGACATGAGCGTCCAGTTCCGGAAAGAATCCGATTACCGGGTATGCCCGCCGCGCAATCTTGCTCTCGTCTGAGGACGGATCCAGGCTCAGCGACACTTCATCGTCTTGCATCGGTACCATCCAATAATGCGTGTATAGCATACCCCTGAGTGGCGGTTTAGCTACCGGAGTTCGCCAGCGCGCCTGCCAAATTCAGCTCTTCGGCGCGATGGCAGCTCGCATATTGGTTCGGGGCTATCTCGCGCAGCTGCGGGGTCTCGCTCCGGCATATATCGATCGCATATTCACAGCGAGGATTGAAGTAGCATCCGGTCGGAGGATTGGCAGGGTTCGCTACCTCTCCTTGCAGTACGGCTCGGTTTCGCCGCACGCGCGGATCGGGTTCAGGCACCGAGGACAGCAACGCAGCCGTGTAGGGATGCTTGGGCGAGTTGAACAACTCGTTGGTCGGCGCCATCTCCACCAGTTTGCCGACATACATTACCGCGATCCGATCACTGATATGCTTCACCACGCTCAGGTCATGGGCGATGAACAGGTACGTCAACGCCAGTTCTCTCTGAAGGTCCATCATAAGATTGAGAACCTGAGCCTGCACCGACACGTCGAGGGCGGAGACGGGCTCGTCCGCAACTATAAGGCGAGGGTTGAGCGCGATCGCTCTCGCTATGCCTATGCGCTGCCGTTGGCCCCCGCTGAAGGCGTGAGGGAACCGACGCATGAACTCAGGCCGGAGTCCGACCATTCTTAGAAGCTCCGCAACCCTGTCCTCGCGCTCCGACTTTGGCACGCCGCTGATAACAAGCGGTTCACCCACAATGTCCATCAGGGTCATGCGCGGGTTCAGCGAGGAGAACGGATCCTGGAAGATCATCTGCATCTCTTTACGCAGACTTCTCAATTGCGTTCGCGGCGCGGTGGCAACGTCCACTATTCCTCCGCTTTCCGACCGGAACAGTATCTCACCGCTCGTTGCGTCAACCGCTCTGAGGATGCACCTCGCGGTGGTTGTTTTGCCACAACCGCTTTCGCCCACGAGTCCGAGAGTTTCGCCTTCGTCAATGTAGAAACTCACGTCGTCAACTGCGCGAATGTTGCTAACCTCGCGTCTCAGCAGTCCCTGTTTTATCGGAAAGTATTTGCGGAGATTGTTGATCTCAATCAGTCGCTCACCGTTTTGTGCAGTTGGCGTTTCCACAGTCATATCCTAAACTCCATGATGGAGAAAGCAGCTTACTTGATGATTGACGCCAATGGGCTTCAGAGTCGGCTCATGCGTGTCGCATACTCCGGGCATGGCGGCAGGGCAGCGTGGGTTGAACGGACATCCACCCGGTCTGGCATAAGGATGCGGCACCGATCCCTCAATAGAGGCCAGGCGGCCCCGGGAACTTTCGGACTGTATGCGGGGAATGGACTGCAACAGCGCCTGGGTGTACGGATGTTGCGGATCGTGGAATATGTCGTCAACGGGCGCGCTCTCCACCACTCGCCCGAGATACATCACGACCACGTAGTCGGCCATCTCCGCTATTACCCCTAGATCGTGAGTAATGAGCATGATAGCCATGTCCTCTTCCTGCTGAAGACTGATCATCAGGTCGAGGATCTGCGCCTGCGTCGTTACATCAAGCGCGGTCGTCGGTTCGTCGGCTATTAGTATGCGCGGTCCGCACGATAAGGCCATGGCGATCATCGCCCTCTGGCGCAAACCGCCGCTGAGCTGAAAAGAATACTCGTTCATTCTTCTTTCAGGCAGCGGTATTCCCACGCGGCGAAGCATCTCGGCGCCTACTTTGTGCGCCTCAGGCTTGCTGACGTCCCGATGAGCATTATCGCTTCCACCAGCTGGTTGCCTATAGTGTGTACGGGGCTGAACGATGTCATTGGCTCTTGGAAGACATATGCGATTTCGCCGCCCCTGATGTTGCGCATCTCCATTCCGTCCGGATCGAACGAGATGAGGTCGTGCACCTCCTCTCTGTCCGTGTTCCTGCTCCGGTAACGGAACATAATCTCGCCGCCGACTATCTCTCCCGGCTTATCCAGAATGCCAAGTATGGAGCGCGCGGTAACGCTCTTGCCGCAGCCACTCTCACCGACGATGCCGAGCGTCTGGCTGGGATAGACGTCGAAGCTCGCGCCGTCCACGGCCACCACTGTACCTTCATCAAGCGGAAAGTGCGTAGTAAGGTCGCGCACCGAAAGCAGCGGTTCGTTTTGCCCATTATTTTGTGTCATAGTGTTATCTGCTTGCGTCATACATTATCCATACGGGCATTATCCATAGGGGTTGGCGACATGTCTCAGACCATCTGCATGGAAATTAAAGGCGAGTACAGTGATAATTACTGGAAGCGCCGGAATCAGAAGCCAGGACGTAGTGGCCACGGCTTGTCGCAACATCACATCCCAGCTTAATAGCGGGTGGGCGCAGCCCACGACCGAAGAAGCTAAGTGATGTCTCTCTAATGATTATTGCGGGACGAGCTAGTGTGGTCGCGGCTATGATGTGGCCTAGGAACAGGGGAACCATGTGTCTGAAGATGATCCTCATCTGGCTGGCACCCGCCAAGTCTGCGGCAGTTTCTCAGTCTTCTTCTCGCAGCGCAAGGACCCTGCCTCTGACCGCTCTGGCCAGAGCGGTCAAGCCGATTAGCGAAATGATTATGGTTATCGCGAAATAGACCTTGATGATTGACCAGTCTCTGCGCACTGCTACCGCAAGCCCCATCCACAGAGGAATAGTTGGTATCGAGCGCAGAATCTCTATCACGTGCTGAATTATCGTGTCTGTCCAGCCACCATAGAATTCCGAAAGGCCTCCGAGCAACACCCCAGGAAACACGCTGAATGCGCGGCCTGACAAGCCCGATGGTTATAGAGATGCGTGTGGCGTGGGCTGCCGAAGCACTTGACTAGAGCGTACACCATCTGTCAAGGGCGGCACCGTCGGCCTGGGTTTGTTTGTTTTTGGAAAAGCCCAAGAAACAAAGGCAGTCGTGCCGGACAGTATTTACAATGTGCCTGTTCGGCGGTGTTCAGAGGCCATCAATCTGCTCCGCGCCACTCATTATTCATATCGGCAGCTGACATATCGGGCTCCTTCTCCCTACCCAGAGGCCATTGCCGCCCGTTCACTAATGACCGCCGGCCCAGGCGGGCCCATTCCTCCAAGCTTGCGCACGGCCTTCGAAAAGTTGTGCGCAAGCGCCGATATGTAGCCCTCACAGTCCACTTTCCACAACCCTCTCAGCTTGCACCTCTCCCAGCCCAACCTGTCTTGAGAGGCGAACACTCCCTCCACTGTCGAACGCCGGCTCGCCATCTCCTGCTTATATGCTTCACTCTCATTCCGTTCCTTTGCCCTCAAGTACACCGGCTGATACATCGTCAGCGCCACGAACCGTCGCTTCTGTTTAGGGGGCAGACATTCAGTTCTCACAGGACACTTCTGGCAGTCTTTCTGATGAGCGACATACTGATAACTTCGATCTCTACTGTGGAAGGCCCGCCTGCGCAGGACCTTACCTTCAGGACACACAAGGTGGTCGCCGTGATAGGTAAAGCCCCTCTGGGCAACCACGCTGTTTTTCTGGTTAGGATGTATGGGTATGTAGGCGGTAATGCCCACCTCCTCCAGATGTTTCCTCAAGGGGCCTGCACTGTATCCCGTGTCTGCCGCCAGCGACTCAGGCTTGATGGGCAACTGCCCCAGCATGTCAATTACCGGCTTCCAGTCTCCCTCGCTGCCGTGCGTGGCCCTGCGCGCAAGAATGAACCCGCTACCCTCAACAATGATGTTCTCCTTGTAGTGCAGGTTCGGTCGCTTGTTCCGCTTGTTGGTGCTCCAACGAGCATCGGTGTCCACCTTGTTCAGCGGCATACGACCCTTGGAGTTCTGGAAGTGTCTAACTCTCTCTGATATGACGCCATCCTTGTCGACCTGCCGCTCACGCAGCACGAACAGCCCATTCTCCTCCACCGCCTTCTCCTTGAATTCCTCCACGCTCATCCCGCTGCGCGACAGATTACGACCACTGACGTTCGCCCTGACCAGACTCGAGTCGGCGTACATCTGCCGAGACAACAACCCCAGCCTCAGCAGCTCCTCATTGAACCGCTGGAATATCTCTCCGAAGCCCTCGTTGCCCACACGCTCGATGAAGTAGCTTATGGTGGAATGGTCGAAGACCTTGTCGTCTATGTTCAGGAAGCAGAACCAGCGGAACGCCAGATTCTCTGAGATTGCCGAGCACAGTCGCCGGAAGGAAGTGACGTTGTACAGGGACGAGATGAGCAGCGCCCTAACGAGTACTTCGGGGTGTATCGCAGGCCGGCCGTTGTCGCGACAGTAGTAGTCTTCGAGCGGCTCGACGAGTTTCTGGAAGTCGAACTGCTCGTCTATCTGGATGAGAAGGTGCTTAGGGTCGATAAAGTCTCTGAGTCGCTTGGTCGTGAATTGAAACAGCGTGGAGTCTCTGCTGTGGCGGTCCAATGAATCGAGCATCGATTCGCTCCTGAGACAGGGTGGTTCGTACCATTCTACGCCACCAACATGTCACCCTTCA